GCAGAGACACACCCTGTGCCCTGGCAGGAACACGGAGAGTAGCAGCCGGCAGACTGGCCATCGATCATTAGGGACGTGGTCCGACTGTCCGGGGTGGAGAGTGGAGACGTGAAGTCCAGGCCGTTCCTCGTGATTTTTTCCCTTGTCTATTTTTCTGCTTATGATGAATTGATGTGATGATGTTTGACCTGCTTGATTCCAGGGCCAGCTGTGGCATTCTAGAGCAATGTGGAGCAGCGTTGGATTTCTTCTATTTGCTCCAAGAGACCAAGAACAGGATTCAAAAGACAAGAATTCAGGTCTTCTCTCTCCTTTTAACTGTTCCTTTTTCGAAACTAAAATCACGAACTATTTGAGATCAACCATTTCACAGGAGAGATTGAATGGCTTGGCCATGTGCTTTATTCAGAAAGATATTTTGGATAAGATTGATCTTGACACTATTATTAGTGATTTTGCATCCAAAAATGCTTGAAGGTGTCGTTTTTCTTGAGTATTGTATGCCATTCACTTCTTTTTTGTGTATTTTTCAGGTGGCTCCTGAAATTTGCTGATGCACGTTTGTGGTTGGACTGCTAGATTGGAATTGTAGCTTCTGCGAATTGGATCAAGAATTTGAGAACAATGTCACATATTTATTTAGCTAAGAGTTAAGACAAGACTTCTAGGTTGTTGGAGCGTGTATCCTAATCCTATGATCATCTGATATATCTGTGGACCGTGGTGTATTAACACCATATATTTGCTAATGAAATTTTTACTTTTATATGAATTTCCTTCTATATGATAGGCTTGGAAGGTTTTTTTGTCTATTATATAGTAGTGTATAAGGGCCCATTTTCTCAATTTGCACAAGGGCCTCTTGAATGTCAGGGCCGGCCCTGCTAACCTCATACACAAATTTACATCAGCAAAAAATTACTGACCAAAACTAATCACCTTCTAATTACATGTGGCGTCTAGACGTAATGCAGATGGGAAGAAAACAGAGAGCAAGCCCAGAAAACTTCAAGGACGCCATGTCCGCGGAGAGACACCAGGGGCTCGCCTCACGCCGGCCTCGGCAGCGCCAGCGGCGTCACCTCGGCGAGAGGCGTGGGCATGGGGCTGGGCAGAGGCGACGTCCGGCACACCGGGCACGTGGGCCGCCGCCGGAGCCACGCGTCGACGCAGCCGCGGTGGAACAGGTGGCCGCAGTCCGGCAGCACCCGGACCACGTCGCTGTCCGCGTACCTCTCCAGGCAGACGGCGCAGCACGCCGCGTGCTGCCCCTCCTCCGAGGCCGGCTTCCTCGCCTCCCTGTAGACCACCGCCGGGTACGCCTCCAGCGTCGCCGCGTCGATGCCGCCGAGCTCGACGTCGCCGTTGCCGCGGCGGGGCGGCGCCGGCGCCGGAATCCCGCGGGCGTCGGCCACCGGCATGGACGACGAGGCCGGGCGGCGACGGGCCGCCGGTGCCCATCGCTGCTCTCCGTGGATGTTGTTAGCGACGTCAACGGGGAGGAGCTTTGCGTGGCGAGCTGTGGTCGAGGACGGGCGCAGGGAAGGTACAAGGCGTGGAGACGCAGGGGACGACGTGGCGTGTCTAGTCAGTGTCAATGTAGCGTGGCTGGTTTGTTCATCGGCGTTCCGATTAATTCGACGTTGATGCGGATTCGTTTGCTTCTGGAAGTGCATCTTCGTGTGCTTAGGCTTTTGTTTACTCAAATTTGCTATTCCAGGGTGACATGAGATGTGCGCAACATCTGGATTTTCGCGTGCTCTTTGTCTGATACATCTCTGGTTTTGTTTACTTTCAAGTAAGCTAACTGAAAACAAACAATAAGGACCAGCGCGACGGTTTTCAAGGTTGGCTAGATTATTATTTTTTGACGTTTTATTGATTTGAGAGAAATTGAAAATCCCAATTTGGGTCTGCTGATCGTTCTCCGCCCTCCATCTCGGATCTAACAGCCACCAAGTCATCTTCCACCTTCAACCGTTTTTTTCCTCCCTACACATCTCCTTCCAACCGCCTCATGGAGGACCGGCCGAACCGCCGGCCACCATCGCCCGCGGCCGGTGGCCCTCCCGCGCAGCCTCGCCGCCCTGACCTCCTCAGAACATTCTCCCACTGCCGCCCCCGGTCATCCAGCTAACTTGCACCACTACCATGCTGCCCCCCCCCCTCCCACCCTAAGATAAATGATGGGGTAGCGTGCCGGTGAGCTTCTTCCTTCCCTTTGATTGTTTCTCTATTCAATCCAAAATCAACTGACCCAAATTTGTGATCAAAATAGATAAAAGGGGATGTATCTAGACATATTTTAGTTCTAGATACATCTTTTTTTAACTATTTTGATGACAAGTATTTTCGGACGAAGGAAGTAGCTATTTTTGTGAACAAAGTTTGGTGCGTGTTTTTTTTAATGATCAGCACTACCAAAAAAAAGAAGGCATGCAAAGCGTGGTTTCCTGGATCCACGTCGTTGGAAGTTTGCGAGCTCCAGGAACCAACGTGCGTGAATGCATGTGAGCATATATGGAATTTTGTGGCAGTGCCTGGTCTGGTAGGTTTTACACACTGTGAAGGTGTGTCCACCCAGCGAGTGATGTATCCCGTGACCTGCTGCTACGTGTGAACGCAGGCGGCCAAGAGGCCAAAAAACATCTCTCCTTTTCTTTGCGAGAAATAAAACAGCACCGTCCGATGAAACGCCGTCTCGAACTCACTCTCTGCTGTAGTTGGACGTTAAGAAGAAGAAGAAGAAGAAGAAGAAGAAGAAGAAGAAGAAGAAGAAGAAGAAGAAGAAGAAGAAGAAGAAGAAAGAAAAACAATCTGCTGTAGCAGGACGCTAGGCAGCATGAATGCGAGCACGCAGCGAGCGTGGGCGGCCGCTCGGCACACTCGAATGAATTTCAGTGCAGTAGTGTGCACATTGCCAGCAGCCGTGCACCCTGAAAAGCACGACGGCTGTACTAGCCTGTCCGTTTCGTAGCAGTAATTATGATCGTGGATTTTAGTTCAAATAGGAAGTAGAAAAAAGGAGCAGAGATGGCAAAGGGCAAGGGAGAGCATATATGCTGGATCCATGTCGACCACACGGCTAGAGACGAGACGAGACGAGGCTGGCGACCCCATGAAGGCCCCGGTACACGGGGAGGAGACTCCATGAAGGCTGGCGACCAAGCGCAGGCACGGTGGTAGTACAGTCTGAGCCCTGCAGTTTGTTTCACCAAATTCCTTGGCGCACTTTCGTTGCGCTCGCGCATTGGGCTGAAATCATTTCGGTTTCTCCTGCTTACATACGTACTCCACAAAAGATCTATTTATTTAAATAAATACTATAAAAGTTCAATAAAGAAGGTTTGAGGCGGCGGCACGTGGCTCAAGGACACGCTGACCGGTCGTTCCAGTCCCCACGCTCGATCTAGCGCTACGCCGCTGGCTGCGACAATGCCACCTCCGCCGTCTGCCATCGTCCAACTAGTACAGTACTTTACCCTCAAAAAAAAACTAGTACAGTACTCCTACTAGAGATATTTATTTTCCTTTCTTTTTCTTTTTCTTTTTCTTTTTCACTGGGAATGGCAATTACTAGTGCTAGTAATTGGGCTGAAGCCATTCTTGCCTGCTCCCTAGTAGGAGTACTGTAGCACGCGCAGGTGAAAAGGTGTAGCGCACGTACTAGGAAACAAACAGCGTGTAACCGTATAGTATGACTAAAATATATATTAGCCCTCTCTCTCCTCATTTAATTCCTCTACTTTAACACATGCGAGATGGTTTGGAGGATAATAAATGCTTAATAATTTGATTTTAGTCTTTTTAGTATTTGGATCCAAGCATGGGTGAGGCTAGCAACTTTTAGTCCCATTACTTTTAGTCATGGGACTAAAACGTATCCAAGCACCCTCTAAGCATCTTAGTGGGATTTATAAGGCTGAAAAGAAAAAGGCTCCTTACACTTATTCAGTCCCTAGATTTCAAAGCTGAGCCCACAATTTTAGAGACCACGGAGCTTCATGCTAAAGTTGATGCGGAGATGAGATTGAAAGAACTTCTCTGTGAAGAGGAATTGAAGTGGGCGCTGCGAGCTAAGGTTCACAAAGTTGTACAGGGGGACGCGAACACTCAATTCTTTCACATGATCGCCAGTGGCAAGCACAGAAAGAAAAGAATCTTTCAGCTTGAGCAAGACGAAGGAACGATTTTAGGACTGGAAAACCTAAAATTATACACAACCGAATATTACAAGCAGTTGTTTGGACCTCCAGGGGATAATTGTGTATCCTTGGATGAGTCTAGGATTGAGGATGTTCCTCAACTTGCTGCAGACGAGAATGATATTTTGACTGCCCAATTTTCGGAGAAATAGGTGTTTGAAGCCATTTCACAGATGAAGAATAATAAGGCTCCAGAGCCGGATAGATTTCCGGTGGAGTTTTATAAAAAGTGTTGGCATATTATTAAGGGGGATTTGATACCGATGTTCCATGATTTATTCTCTGGACAGTTTCAGTTGCTTCACCTGAATTTTGGAACGATAACTCTGCTTTCTAAGAAAACAGAGGCTGTGAGAATTGAGCAGTTCAGGCCGATCTGTCTTCTTAACGTTAGTTTCAAAATTTTCATCAAGGTAGGGACTAAATAGGCTCACGCAGATTGCACATTCTGTTGTGCAGCATTCCCAAACTGCTTTCATGCCGAACAAAAACATCCTAGAAGTGGTTGTGGTCCTTCATGAAACGCTCCATGAAATTCACACAAAAAAACTAGATGGAGTTGTTTTCAAGGTGGATTTGGAGAAAGCGTACGATAAAGTCAAATGACCTTTTCTTCAACAGGCCTTGCGTATGAAAGGTTTTGATCAAGCCTGGCGACGCCAGGTAGAATCTTTCACGCAAAAAATGAGTGTTGGAATTAAAGTGAATGACGACATAGGTCATTATTTCCAGACACATAAAGGCGTGAGACAAGGTGATCCGATGTCTCCTATTTTGTTCAACATTGTAGTCGATATGTTGACAATTCTAATAGAAAGGGCTAAGGAGGCTGGTCAGGTAGGTGGCCTGGTGCCTCATCTAGTTGATGGAGGTATGCCTATCCTACAGTACGTCGATGATACTATCATCTTTATGAAGCATGATTTGGCAAAAGCGAGAAACATAAAGCTGGTGTTATGCTTATTTGAACAATTGACCGGATTAAAGATTAATTTTCATAAAAATGGACAATTAACCGAGATGATGGTTGCAAAAGAGAGTGAGAACAAGCGCTAAGAACAAAGGTTGGACAACCCAAACAATAAGACTGAATGAATTAAAGAGAAGGAGGAGAGTGTGCCACAAGTTGCCGTTACAACTAACGAGCGATTCAATGCGTCTTGTTTCTGCATGCAACAGACCTGACCTGTCAGTGGGAATACCAAAGGTATACAGGTTCAATATGGTGCGGAGATATAAGACTAGTTATAATGGGTAGTAACTTAGACTAGTAATTTGCATATGTTACTAGTCTATGTTACTACCTTTATAGTGAGAAATAATATATGTGTGGTGTCATGCAATACTTCATTTATTAGGTTGTAGACTCATCTTATCTTAGTATATGTGATGTTACAGTAACTAGCTATGTTACCACATGCCTCTCTTTCCTCATTAATTACTCGCCACATCATCGATTTTGCCTAGAGATGTGTGATGTTACCACCTATGTTACTCCCACTGTGGGTAATCTAAATATACATGCTCGCCGTATAAAAACTACACGAATAACGTGGGATTGTGTGGGCGTGATACCAACCTCGCTTGCCATCATGTCCACTTGTAATTTATTGGGACTAGAAGAACGCCCGTGTGTTGCAACGGGGCCACATTAACTTTAAGAGTTCAATATTAATATTCTCATACATATCAAGTGACATTGGCGACCTTTTTTACCATCAAATCCTCACACACACTCTTTCTCTCTCTCTCTCCCTCTTCCTCACACTCTCTCCCCCTCTCTCTCTAACACACACATACATATTCATCTATTTCACACACACACACTAGTGCATAACAATATGGATTATGTGTACTACCCCCGTCTGGTGAATAAGTCATTCGCGTAGTTCTAGGTCGACGATTTAACTATCTAAATAGGGTGTGTCTAAGACACATCTAGATGTGCTCTAGTTATTGCACATCTAAGTGAGTGAATCAAATATAAAGAGGAAAAGAAAAAAGAAAAAGAAAATATCCTCACGAATCTCAACATAAGATCAATGACATAGGACTTAGATGTACAATACTTATGACACATCTAGATGTGCTTTAGCAAAACCGATCTAAATATGTATTATATGTGACAAAAAATATATATTTAGAAACTACTTTCATGTAGAAATCTGGTGATATACTTTTCATGATATATAATACATATTTAATTCCTTAAATCGATGACCTGGAACTACGTGAATGACTTATTCACCTAGACGGAGGTAGTATTATATTTGCCACCACAACTGAGAGAATTAATTTCATGTAAATCGGCCAGCCACAGCTCCAAGAATACGTACGCGGAGGAGGTGGCTCGGGCCGGTGTCGACGCCGTCCGGCGCGGGCCATGGGCCCGCTTCCAAGTGCGTCTGCGCGCCGGCCACCCACGCCGGGTCCTTCAAGTGCCGCTTCCACCGCATCAACTCCCAGGGCCACGACCAGGGCCACGGCCAGGGAAGCCGCCCTTCTTCGCCCCCTTCACTGGCCACGGCCAACGAGGTGCCGCGGCACCCGGCCTCGCCGTCCTCGTCCTCCGGCACCGTCGCGACCCAGTGACGCAGCCCAAGCATCAGCCTCGAGAATCAAGAACGCTCGACAACGGAGAAGGAAGGAAAGATCATATACATGTCATAAAAAAGGAGTTTATTTACTGCTCCATCGATGTATTATTTTCTTTGCTTGGAGATTGATTACCATCCGTGAGTTAAGGTAAGGTTACTGTGATTGAGCGGTTTTTCTGAAAATCAATTATTTGTTTTCTAATTAATGTGATTGAGTGATTTAAGGTAAGTTTAATTAATTTAGATTTGATCTTTAGAGATTGTTCGTGATTGATTCTACATTATTAAATAACTTGCGCCAGTATGAAAAGTTCTGATCTGCTCAGATTTCTTTCGTTGTGTGAGAGGGTGACGCGAAAATAAACCGATGAAGCGGGGGAGGGGACGAAAAAAAATCTACTAAAAAAACCAGCGAAGATGAGAGAAGGTATAAAAAAATCATGAAAAATGAGACAAAAAAATCTGAAAATGAGACTACCAACTGCTCCATTAAAAATAGAAGATTATAAAACGTACATTACAGATGGAAGGTTTGGAGTGTGGATTCGGCTGAACCATGGTCCAGCAGCATATTTCTGCCTCAACGCGCGCCCCGTCGCCGAGTTCGGCTACCTCAAGGACCTCCCCGAGATCCTCCACCGCATCATCCACGGCGGTGCCTCCACCAGGACCCCGGGGAAGCAGGCCCGCCTCGCCGCCGAGGGAGGAGGACTCATCGCCCGCCTTCGATTGCGTATGGCGCACCGCGGGCCGACGAAGGAGGTGCCGGAGCTCGCGCGCCGCGAGAAGAAACGCACGAGGAAGGCGCGCGTTGCTGCTAGCCAGAGGCGTGATCTGGAGGAGGCCGCCCAGGCCACCGTCGAGCGACGGAAGAAGCGCGCGGACGCCGCGGCGACGGCCGTCCAGAGGTACGCCCGCGACCAGAACTACCGCCTCCTCCATGACATGACGGCGGAGGTGTTCGCCGACCTCCTCGCCGAGGACATGAAGAAGCTCGCGGAGGGCAAAATCAACCTCTCGCTGGCCGGGAAATGGTGCCCGTCGGTCGACAGCTGCTACGACCGCTCCACGCTCATCTGCGAGGCCATCGCGCGCGGGAGCGCCTCCGCAAGGAGGTCTACGTGCCGCTCCGCCATGCCCTCGAGCTCCCCGAGACCTTCATGTCGGCGGGCGAGTGGGGGAAGGGTGCTGTACACGCGCGTGGCGTCCGTCGCCATGAAGAACTACAAGGACCACTTCATCTATCACGACCAAGAGCGCTTCAACGGCTACCTCGCCGACGGGCGCCCTGCTGCCGCACAAGATCCTGGAGTCGGCCGTCGACGGCGAGGACGAGGTCGCCGACCTGCAGTGGAAGCGCATGGTGGACGACCTGCTGGCGCTGGGCAAGCTCAACAACTGCCTCGCCGTGTGCGACGTGTCGGGCAGCATGCACGGCGTCCCCATGGACGTCTGCGTCGCGCTGGGGCTCCTCCTGTCGGAGCTCTGCGATGAGCCGTGGCGCCACCGCGTGATCACCTTCAGCGCGGCGCCACAGCTGCACCGCATCCGCGGCGAGACCCTGTCGGAGAAGGCGGAGTTCATCTGCGAGATGGAGTGGGGCATGAACACCGACTTCCAGGCCGTGTTCGACCAGCTCCTGCGCGTGGCCGTCGCCGGCAAGGTCCCTCCGGAGCGCATGGTGAAGAAGGTGTTTGTGTTCAGCGACATGGTGTTCGACGAGGCCGTGGGAGACGGACTACGAGGCGATCACGTGGAAGTACGCCGAGGCCCGCAGGTGGTGTTCTGGAACCTGCGGGCCTCGCGCTCGGTGCCGGCGACGGCGGAGCAGAAGGGGGTGGCGCTGGTGAGCGGCTTCTCCAAGAACATGCTCAAGCTGTTCCTCGGCGGCGACTACACCCCCGTCGCCCAGGGCCGTCATGGACAAGGCCATCTCCGGGCCCATGTACGAGAAGCTTGTCGTGTTCGACTGAAGAGTAGGCACGCTTCGTGCGTGTCAAGTGTTTGGTTCATTGGCACTATTTCCAAAAAGAAAAGAAACGCTCAAAAATAATTTGATCAGAATTCGTTCAAACTTCGAACGACTAGTTTGTAGTAAAGCTGTAGTACAAGAGTCAACACCACACGATCATATCTACGTACCGGAACAACATCATCAAGGAGACCAAAGATTAGTGCAGTAGTAGAGTCAAAAGTTTTCTCATGTACATTTTTATTTCATGTCAACAGCATCTATGGATCTCATATACACTTTTTGGTTTCTGTTTGGTGCCCGGATTCTACACATTATTACAGGGTGATGGTGCAGCGCATGCAGAGCCATCGGCTACAAAAATCCTAAGAGATCAAAAAACGTATAGACAGTAAAATTAGGGTTCAGACTCTCATCTATGGTAAATTTCAATCAGCATCGTCAGCATGACTGGACTCTTCAGCAATTGACAACTTGATATCCCATAACTTACCTTCTTGGCCTGAGTACTGGTAGGCAGCGCCTTGACTGAACTTTAAATCCTGGTAGATCATGCGTCAACCAAAAAATCATCAGCATCAACTACTTGAGGCTCGTTCAGATCAGGGCTTCGTCTAACCATTTGGCATGCTCCTGGGTCCAGAGTCCAGCGAGTTGATTTGCCGATGCCAAAACACCATTCACGCTTCTATTGCCGGTGTGCCAACAAGGCTGAGTTGCAATGGCTTGCTGCTGTAATTGCTTCTCACGCCAAAGATTTTTAAAAACTCAGCTTCTTGGCCCATCAGCCGCTGGCTGCTGCACAACCATCTTTCTGTGATTTGTGAATAAAATGATCTGGCAATTCAGCTATTCAACCATGCCGAGCCCATGGACATGTTAAAGTGTAACTCTCCCGGTAAGCTTAGTTGAAGAAATAGGTAGACTTGAGAACTTCTCTCACATCAAAATTCCCCTGTGCTGGGCAGGGAGGAAACTCTACTGTCGGAAATAATGTTTGAAACTCTTCCAGTAGCTGGATTCAATATAAGAAAAAGAGCATTAGGGAATAATCTACTGATACAGTTGAAGAACAAAGCATTGCTTGATTAAAAGACATAGGGTACAGTCTGACAGCATACGTTTTCAAGGATTGGCATGCTGTACAGCTCCACGAATTGCTCTCTCAAGATCTGATTCATTTTATCAACATCACATGCATGCACCCAAAATGAGTCATGCACTCCTGCAGCCAAAACACATCAGCAGAAGGCAACATAAATTGCTTACCGACAAGCATCATAAGCACAAGTAACGAAAGCACAAAGCATTTGAGGACAACGTCCAAAATCGACTTAATTTGCATTATCTATTGGCTGTTTGATACAAAGGGATTGTGACTACATTCTTTCGCACTAAAATTACACCATATGCTCCCAAGAGAGCTTGGATCCTGGTCAACTCGTCATATTTGGACCCTAACAGGACCTTATTCTTGTTGTCTGAATAATAGGCAAGCAAGTGTATTTGAGGATTGTGGGACCTTTTTAGCAAAATCATATGCTATTTGATTTGCGCAAATATACTGGAACCAACAATTAGCACTACTGACTGAACACTTATGAGAATTTAAACAAGTACTCCCTCTACCAAAATATAAGACGTTTTTAGATCATAGCACATTACCCAACAGCAAGAAAAGGAAGCTGACATCCATGATTCACCAGAAACTTTGTTTTACATCAAGCTTATTCCTATCTGATATATTATTATATATGAACAGAACACCTTGCCTCAGTGACAATGCATGAAACGACCGAAAATGTAAAAGGTAGCTACTGCTGCTGGGATGCAAAACCAGTAGCATGTATAACATTTTTCTAAAGGGCTGGTAAAGGCCAATATGGAAATTTTGATATAAAGATGAAGTTTAAAGAAGGCAATGTCGAATTTTAGCTAAATGTATCCTTTCAGAAAATAAGGCTAAATGCAGTAGATCAAAGAAAACAATCCAGTTCATTCCACTTCCACTGAAGTGAAAGCTTAAGGTTGGTTGGTACTGGGAGGAGGTTTGCTACTAAAATATTTGTGCTAGCAATGGAACCAGAAATCAGAAAATACCTGCAAAATGAAGACCAGCCTCCTTGCAAGTAATTGCCGTCATCATCATATGTGAACTATCAAGAGAATGCACAAAATTCGGTGGAAAAGCTGCCTTTTGCCGTTGGGTTGCAATCTAAAATTTAATGACAGCAAAAATTAACCATGATAGTTGGAATAAGCAAGGAGTAAGTGAATAGAGTTACTTACTGCATCACCCTCCCGTCGTAAAGCCAGACATTGCAAAGAAGTTCGTATCTGCACGATAATGGCAATATTGAAATAAATAACACAAATAGTGTTCATAAAGTGGCAAAATAGTAGAGCATTGTCTCGCAGCAATTAAATATTTTAACTTGAATGCATCTCAATCCTTCCTAGAATGCCCCTTCCAGACGTTGGACACCTTTTTCAAGGATTATATGAGAATTAAAACAAATATGGTCCAGATTATACAATTAGCTCATGTTTATTTTCATGTACGAACCAATAGTGTTCTTCTCCTGTTCAAAAAAATAGTGCTCTTCAACTCACACTGCAGTGATGTTTCCAAAGGTGCATAACTAACATGACATTTACACAAATGAGCAAATATGCTCCCTCGAAGAAAAGTGAGCAAGCATAACCAAAACAAATCAAGTATCCATGTACACTGCTTGTTTAGTGTAGATATACAAAAAAAATGCACATATATGTGCAATAGTTGATAAGTAGCTTACCATATAGTTTTTATATTTCTTGTATGGTTGCACAACTGGAAGACCAACAGGACTCGTCCATCTGACTGGTTGATTTTTTGAAGCAATCATCTATGAAGAATTGAAACACTGTCAGAGCCTTTTGATAACTCAACTCAACTACCAAGATTATTGTACAAAGGAACATGCAATGCCACACTTTACATTGGGATGCCTGTCAAATTTTAAATCAATTGAAAAAACTATGATTCAGAACAGAATATATCGTATACCTTTGCACAGTCACCAAGCCATGCCATTATAGCACGGGCAGATTGGAACATTTGTCCTAGTGCATCCAAAGTTACCTTCATCAGAGATACAACAGTTACAGCATGTCCTTGTCTCTCCAATGCAATCAATAGGGAGCAAGGAAAAAGAATGCACTAGGCATTAATTGCGTATTTTGCCACCGCCTTGTGCTTTTCTCACCAAAGCACACGCTGTGCACACCTAGCACGATTAAGCTCTAGGCGTTTTGCTATCACCTAGAGCCTAGGTGTGCCTTCTTTAACAATGATAGGGAGTCACAAAAATCGCCAGTCTGTCAGATGCAAATGAAGTACTTACCCTGGTAGCATAGCAGGACACATCATAGAGCAATTTGTCATCTGTAATGTGTCCTTTCTCTTGAAGCCTCTTCATAATTTGCTGGCGAGCACCGATAAATGTGACACCATAAACTGACGTCATCACTGTCTGCTTGACCAGCTTCCTATCCACCTGTAAGCTACCAATGTCCAGGTCCTCAACTGTTTTGTTAAAGAAAAGTACACGAAGAAGAATATTTCTTGACAGAGGCAGAGCGGGGCAGGGAGAAGGCTAACCTCATCAACTAAAACCTTTGCTAATGAAACACTTGGATCAGTAGCAGGATCTTTCATTGAGTCTTCCCGTACAACATCCAATACCCTTCAGTCAAGTTTATGCCAAAACATTATTAATTACTGAGTGCCACTAGGCACTAGGGAAAAGCATTATGAAATAAATAATCTAAAAACTGAGTTAACAGTTAGATGACAAATAAGCTAAATACTATAATCTATTAAAGGGCAGCCCCGGTGCATGTAGCTCCCGCTTGCGCAGGGTCCGGGGAAGGGTCCGACCACTTTGGGTCTATTGTAGGCAGCCTTTCCCTACATTTCTGCAAGAGGCTGTTACAAGATACTATAATCTATTAAGGCAAATTAATAATTGGAAAGGAGAACTGGGTGTGGCAACAGCTTCAGTGGTCGTTCAGGTTCAAGGCCTGCCCTCCCTATGGTACCTTAGTGTTCTTTCCAAATAAAATTATAAAAACGAGATGTTGCTAGAGCCTGTTGTTTCTTTTAGAATTACAGAAAGGTTCCTTAGTCACAGCCGGCTACATTTATTTCAAGAAGTCAAACATATAACTTCATGGATTTGTTTTTCTTCACGCACAATTGTCACTGCTTGTGTTTTAATGAAGGCAAATACTTTGTCGCCTGATCTAATAAAAGAAGGTAACTTAATGGTAAAGGTAAAAGTTTTCCCTAGGACATATAAAATATATTTCCTAGTAGTATGATAATTCAGTTATGATAACAACTTACATAAATAGCTCAGAAATATAATCAAAATAGACATGTAGAGCTGTTTTGAACAACTAGAAGATGTAAGCGATGTTTGTTGATCCTTCCGTGGGGGTGGGGGGTGGGGGGCATCCACAAATGTAGTGCATACGGGAATTAGAGAGGGGGAGGGAGGCACCTAGCAGCTATTTCTGAGTAGATATCTGCAGGTTTCTCTCCAGGAACCAAGTTGACAGCTGCCGCACCCATCTGTACAAAGACAATTGTCAAGTGTTAATATCTGGATAGTTCCACTATAGAATTTCATGAAAAAAAACATGCAAATGAAAACAGAAGTTTTGCGACCCGGTTGAGTACTGATAAATTCCAGACAGTGAAGAAAATTCATGTAAAATAAAAAAAACAGTACACTCGACTATATAATTACATATTAAGCACAAAGTGCTAGCTTTATTTTACGATATCACAAGTACAGAAAATAATGTTCAGGCCAAGTGATGCTCAGTTGGTATAGCAGGAAAAACTTACATAGTCTCTTCCAAGAGCAGCATAGTGTTGTAACCCATTGCATGAACCATCCTAAAAGATGGAAAATGTGACCAGTAATTAGTAATGTCGTGACAGAATGCGGCTGGGCAGAGATATCTCAAATGCTTTCATTGCAAAAGCATAAGTAACACCTCGGTGCACATAATATTGAGTTATTAACCTTGATCAATCCTAGGATATTGGCCTTTCGCTATTCTCTATTTACAGGTGATGATTTAAGTAATGTCGAAACCTATGCGAGTGAGCCTCATTCTCAATGAAGACAATACCTGATGAATAGGTAGGTGAGAGACAGCATCATGAGGTGATGGACTTTCTAATGCCTTAGAAAGATCCATGCATGCAGCTAGACATTGAAATGGATCCTCAGCATTAATCCACCAACAGTTCCCATCAACAGGATTTGATGCTGAATCAAATATATCAGGCAAATGATCCTCCACAAACGCTAGTTTGCTCTCATGAGAAAGCTTTTCAATGCCTCCGCCATATTTGTTAGCCAAATGTATCTTCAACCAGCGTAAACCAGATTTTCCGAGTGGCCGCCCTTCAGCATACTCTAGAACACCTCGGCATAGATCTGAACCTAGGTGACTCAGATGTGGATGCATAGGGTATGCACGACCACGGAAATCTAGATTATGAGGATAATAGAAGCCATCCTCCTCTCTCATTTTACGAGCAACCTATTCACAAAGGTGGAAACGGTGTAGCTTCAGTAACAGCATACCATACCAAAAAATGTAGACCGTGATATCTAAGAAAGTAAGAGCGCCTCTTTATAACACATACAGAGAGTTTTAGTTCTGTATCGCATCGCTCAGCATGCAGTTCGCGGTTAGCTTTCTTTGTCTTCTTTACGCTCCACTTCCATTTCTGGATTTCATCTGGGTCTTCTGTTTCAGGTTGTTCAGGTAGAGGAATCTATACACAAAATAGAAGAGCGAACAGGTAGTTAAAAACATGTGTGGCCACTAGAGCATATTATGAAAACAGAAGGAAACAAAGTATTCACAATGTCAGAATTGACCATATGCAGTTGACTCACATTTCCCTTATCAACAAGTCCTGCAATACCCCCACCACGACTCCAAATAGTCTCAACAACGTCATGTACCCGTCTATTCACTCTCCATTTAGTACCCCCAAGGATATCTAATGCCTGCCAATATGACAATGCTTCAGACTGCTTTCATCATTCAATAAAAATAAGCAAGCACAAATGAATAAACATCAGAAATAATCATTAAAGCAGGAAGAATATCTAGACCATGCTGTTATGAGACTAACATTCACTACTAAGGAAACGAGTGTTGATGATGTGCCACAATGCCAAGGGAAACGAGTTTAAGAATATAAATGCAGGCTGTGTCAAAGATGACTGGTCAGCAAACCTCGAATACTTTTCGCAGCTGTTTTCTTGGAACACTCTTAATGGCTTCCTTCTGGTCCTTCACACCATGTGTCCGCATAACATACGAAGGCAGAAAAAGGTGTCCGCCTTTATCATAGCTGAAACAATACATGGTTCGAAAATGATCACCAGACAGAAGATGCAATCAACTATATCATCTAATTAACCATACATAGCTACTTTAAATATTGATGAACTAGTAAATACCCAACATAATTAACTGAAAAAGGACAAATGCATGAATCACTACCATACCCCTTCCATTTCGTAGGAGGTACCAGCATAGGAAGATAGGGTATCTCCACGTGTCTAGCCTGCAAAAAATTCAAACTTCTAAATACGTGTGAAGCATTTCCATTGAACAGATAAAAACAAGAAAATGCAATCTGCAATGCAGCGAGCATTGCAAGTAAATTTTTGAACAAACTCGATGGGTTGACACTCAAGAAAATCCAGATTATAAAAATAAGGAAAAGAAAACAAGTGGATGGTCATTTAGGTCAAAAGTCTATATCCATCCAGAAAAGAACATCATAGCAGTGCAAAATAAACTTACAGTGCTTTCGAACCCCTCATGCACAAGAGGATCACACTCTATCACGAAGTGCTTCTTCTTTAGTCTCCTGCTCATTGAACAGAAATGTCAGAACAGATCTAAGGAATCTAAGCAAGCACATGATACTGACACAACAGTGCATGTCAATGCAAACACAAAGCATGCAACAAAGGCAAACGCTGGGAAAATGTGCAGCCCTACCCATTTTCTACAATAGGCTTTCGCAATACATGCTTAAATGCAGGTCGAAAATCAGGAGAACTGTCGGGTGTTTGGTCAGCTGGTGACTGCACAAATGCCGAATCCAACAACAATTCAATCAGGCGAGTTCCTAGCTGCAGTCACAAAAGGAGGATTACCTTCCATAACATATGAGACAAAATTCTGTAATTGTAGGTATGCTATCTGGAAAACAAACCTTCACTTGGGCTTCTGTGCCCCATTCCTCCAGTTCAATCTCCTGCTGCACAAGCTTCTGTGCTTCAGTCAATTTTCGCCTCCTCACCAAACTCTTAACAAGTTTCCGGCATTTTGCCTGTTCCTTGTTTAATGCTGGATCATTTTCACTGTCAGTTTTGCTCCTAGTTTTTCTCCTAGTCTTCTGAAAGAAAGCCTGGACTTTGTACTGCAGAACAATAAATAGCTTTCAACACACAGAAAAATCAACTGACACTAGGAAACATTGTGTGATGAATACTGAATGGCAAAGTGGAGAACCTCCTACAATAGCATTGAGTTCATCCTAATTAACGTGATCAAACTCCAGTCCTTTACAACATATACAGCTCTAGCGCACAAGCAGAATAGCCGAAGCCTGAGCCAGAGGAAGATGAATTCCTAATCCAAGGCTTTGTCATCCATAAATAAAATACACACCGCACATGATTTCAGATCTGGCAATCTGTCATCATGTCACATTGTCACTGCCAGAAAACCTATAGTCAAACGGGCAAATAGATGCCATCTCCACTTGCTGAACAACTCACACGATGTATCTATTGGATCTTAATTAACAAAGTAGGTCAACAACTTCATCCAGCTATCACACCACGACACGATTTGGAGACAAAATATCATAACCCATAGCACATCCACCAGTTGCATAATGTCCTCGGCTCCTCCAATTTCTTAACTTCATTGCATTGCAGAACTACTAATTAGGCATGTCGATCAAGTCAAATTGTTGACCAGTCAGATGGAAATCACAAGGAACCATCTACATTAATTACACTAAGGTCGCCATCACTAGGCCTAAGTATCACATTGTTGTAAACGAGCTAATATTTCTAAGTCATAATAGATAGTAGTATCGAAAAATTGTCTACCATGAAGTTGCGGCTAGAAGTGAGCCATCAATAACAAACCTCGCGCTCGACGGCCTCGCCGATGGAGTGCGCGGCCTGGACGACGCGGACGCTGCCGCAGCCGTCCTTGCTGGACATGAGGAGGCCCATCATCTTGTGCATGACGATGACGGCGACCTTCTCGGCGGGGAGCAGGAGCAGGTACTTGGCGTAGACGTGCTTGACCCGCTTGCGGCGCTGCACGTCCTGGTCCCTGGCGACGGCGTCGCGCAGCGGCTCGAACCAGCCGAGGAAGAGCGACTTGACGTAGGGCAGCTGGGGGGCGAGGTGGCGGTCGAGCATCTCGCGCTCGAGCTGGCGGTACTCCTCCGCGGCCCGCGCCCACGCCTCCGTCTCCGCCTTGACCTGCCGCTGCCGCAGCCGCCGGTGGTCCGCCCTCCGCGCCCGCTCCCGGTCCTTCTCCCGCTCGAGGATTATCGCCAGCTCCTCCTCCACTGCCGCGTCGTCCGCCAGCGGCGGGGGCGGGTGGGGGATCTGGTAGGAGTCGGCGGGGGAGTTGAGGAAGGCGAAGAGGTCGAGCCAGTCGAAGGCGTCGGTGTTGAGGGGCGGGGGCGTGGGGATGGGGAGGAGCGTGACGGGGCGGGGCGGGGGCGCGGGCGCGGGCAGGACGGCGACCATGGGCGGCGGCGGCGAGAGGCGGCGCAGGCGGGGCCGCGGCGGGGGCGCGCACGTGGAGATGGGGGCGAGCAGGAGAGGCATGCGCCGCCGCCTGGGCCGAGGGG